GGATTTCAGGTGTCCTCCCTTGTGCTGTCATGTTTTTTTGATGGTTTCATGACAGTCCATTGTATGAACATATTGTAGTTTTTTGAAGAATTGCCTCTTGGGCTGGGGCTACAGGTCAGTACGCTTGCTTAGCATGTGTGAGGCACTGGGTTCCATCCTTGGTACCACATAAAAATGAACAAATAAAATAAAGGCATTCCGTCCATCTACAACTACAAAAAAAAAAAAAAAAAAAAAAAACCACAAAAAACACTTGTGGGGCTAAGATAGGAAGATTGTGAGTTCAAAGCCAGCCTGAGCAACTTGGTGAGACACTTGCAACTCAATGAGACCCTGTCTCTAAATAAAATATTTACAAAAGGGCTGGGGATGTGGTTCAGTGGTTAAGCACCCCTGAGTTCAATTTCCAGTACCAAAATAATAATAATAACTCCACAAATAACTGCCTCTTGTGGGCTACTTGGGCTGTTTCCTTATTTTCTTTTTGTTTCTTGTTCCTGCATGCAGTGCTGGGTTCCCCTGAGAGCTGACAAAACCTCTGGGTCCACATGGCACTGTGTGAGGCAGCCACACAGCACAGTGGGCCTCCTCCCACCCCAGAGCTTGGCCGTGGTTCCTCACTTCTTCCGGCTTCTCTCATTTTCTTGTTAAGTTTGGTGCAAGCTTATTTCTATCCTCCAGGAGGGAAGCAGAGTCAGGCTGACTCAGAACTGTATTTCTTGGAATCTACAGAAGTAACGTTGGGTCAGAACACCCACTTGTGAATGTCCCAGCTGACACTTCAAGGAGGTGTCACTGAGCCACTGGCTGCTGAAGACCCAGAGGCCTTGATTTCTGTGTCAGTGGTGATATGATAGGAACACAAAATGGCAAAGCAACAATACCATCCCACATGCCAAAAAAAACCTGCAAATGTCTCACCTGCTCACCTGGCCTCACTCCCAGCCTCCTCCAGGAAATATCCTGGTGTTAGTTTTAGTATTAAATTTTAATTTTTTATTTTTGTTTCTGTATCTTCAGGCTTTGAAGAACCAAAGCCTTTCTGTTCTACAGCCAGGGTTTTATTTTACTTCAGCCCCTCCTTCTACGTGAGATTAATCAGCCACTCATCAGTGTGGGAATCTTTGGAATGAGAGCATATTCTACTCTTAGGAATCATCTAACTGCTGTGGATGCAGCTCAGTGGTAGAGTACTTGCCTAGCATGTGTGAGGCCCTGGGTTCCAGCCCCAGCAACACACACACACACACACACACACACACCCAATCATCTAATCCAGTGATTTTTGTTGCTTATTTATTTTATACATGCAATCCCTAGAAACATTTCATTGTGAAGGTAAAGCTAAAGTTTCCTTGATTGACCTCTTATTTTCTTCTATGTTCAGAGATAGCCTTTATGTCACTTTGGTGTAAATCTTTTTAGAATTTTTTTAAATGCATTTATGTATATAAATATACATGCACCAAGGGCTGGGGTTGTGGTGGAGCGTTCGCCTAGCAAGTGCAGGGCCCTGGGTTCGATCCCCAGCACCACATAAAAATAAATAAATAAAGGTATTGTGTCCACCTATAACTAAAAAATGAATGTTAAAAAAATAAATATACATGCACCTAGACACACACAATCTTAGAAAATCCTTAGCAAATACCTTCCGGTTTCCTCCACCAGAAAATGGTGAGATACTGTTTGTTATTCTGCATCTTGTCTTTTCCGCCTAAGCCATAGGTCTTAGGAATCATCTATGTTGGCACCTTCTTCTTTGTAGTGGCTGTGTATGAGAGTAGCCATCATGCTATGGGTGAGCAGGTGCTTTGCCCTTGACTATGAGAGCATTGACAGCCCTTGGCTGACTTACCCGGATGCACCTGGGTAGGTGCTAGAGATGGCTGGGCCACAGGTTAGTGCAAGAGAAGGTCCGTAGCCATTGCCAGATGGCTCTCAAAGGTACCAGTACCTCTTCTGCCCCATTCAGCTCAGGTGGGGGTCACCTCTAATGAGCATTGCTACCTCAGGAGCCAGTTTCTCAAAGGAGCAAGGCAGCGTGCCCACCCCAGGTTCAGGGACTACAAAAGGCTTGGCCACCAGAAGTCCAAACCTGCTTCTTCCTGCTCTGTAAACAAGGGTGTAGAGGTTCCACTGTTCTGGTCTATAGTGGTAAAAGCAGACCCAAGGACCCGGATGTTAGTACAAGACTTTTATATTGTGCTTAAAAAAAGAAAGAAAAGAAAAGTCAATTGCATTAAATCCACCCATCGCCAATGGCATGATTTTGTGGGTTTGGGAAACAAGGTGATTTTGACCCTATAAAATACCACACCCTCTAATGGTGAAATACTTTCTTCCTTGACTGGTTTATTGGTTGGTGCCCTGCCATCCAGCCAGGTGATTTCTGGAGATAATCCTCCCTGATGGGACAGCCTCTGTGGCAGTTATCATCTGAGGCCCAGAGAGCTCTGTGTCTCTGGCAGAGATCAGGATATCTGGATAGACAGACTGAGAAGGATGTCCTGCTGACTTCTCAGACTGACATGCAGGGGTCAAAGGCTGGCCTGGCCTTTTTGAGCACCTGGAAGATGAGAGGTGACTGTGGCACTTTTTTATTTTTATATTTTATTTGCAGTGCTGGGATTGAACCCAGGGCTTGCTCATGCTAGACAAGTGCCCTACCACCAAGCCACACCCTCAGCTCTGTGGTACTTTTTTTTAAAGTATAGGGATCGAAATTCAGAAAATGCTTTTAAGATGTAAAAATGTCTGCTGTGGGGTCATTTATAACAGGGAAAAAAAATCAGCAACCAGTTCAAAGTCTAACAAAGGAAAATAGGGGTGTAGTTAAGTCAATAACAATAAACTCGACCGATTATTATTCTACTCTTAAAACAGGCTGCAAACTGATTTGTCAATTTCACAATTACTTGATATAATGTTCATGAAAAATTTAAGTGACTTTTCATGGAGTGTAATTTTTTTTTTTTTTTTGTTACTGGGGAATAAACCCAGGAGCACTCAACTACTGAGCCACATCCTCAGCCCTTTTTTGTATTTTATTTAGAGACAGGGTCTTGCTGAATTGCTTACGGTCTTGCTATGTTGCTCAGGCTGGCTTGTGATCTCCTGCTTCAGCCTCCCAAGCTGTTGGGATTATAGGCATGCTCCACCATGCCTAGTTTCTCACGGAATATAATTTTACAAGAGCTTTTTTGGAAGAGAACTGGACAATTTACATATATATATATATATATATATATATATATATATTTGTTATTGTTGTTGTTTTGTTTTTTTTTAAGTGCTGGGAATTTAACCCAGGGCCTCACACACGCTGCACCACTGAGTTATACCCTGCAACTCCCAGATGTTAAATGTGATCCAGAAATTACATTAAAAAAAAAAAAAGTCCTACTGAGATCTTGCATGAACGTGCAGAAGTTTAGAAACAAGCATGTTCGCTTCAGTGCTGTTTGTACTAGGACATCTTGGAGAGAATCCAAGTACCCATCCACTGGAGGTTAGACAAATACCTTAGGGGACATGTACACAGTTATATATCCTACAGTCCTGGAAAGGTCAACCGGGCAGTCTGTGCACATGACATGGAAAGCCATCCAGGGTCCCACGTGAACTGGGGGAAGTAAGACGCAGAACATGCCAAGTGCAGCCCCGTGGCTCCTAAATACAGGTTTCTGTTGACAAGGCAGAGGAAAAACTTGCAGAGTGGCTGCATCAGCTGTCAGCTAGCTGTGGTTTTCAAAGGCAGGGGGCGTGGTTAGGGAGGACTTCCACTTTCTAGTTCAGAGTTCCATAGTGCTTACAGTTTTTACTCAAAGCAAACCATCCCTTTGGAATCAAGCCAAACAATCAAGGTCACTGATTCCAGTCTTCCTAAAAATGAAGAGTGCATGGTGCAGCCCTGTCTGGGCTGGAGTCCCTGAGAAGCAGAGGCTGGCCAGGGTGGCCGAGGGATCCTAGTGGGGGCCTGGGGAGGCCTGGGATAGCTGCTCCTCACATTCCCTCCCATCTTGGAGCTGCTGTGGCCCACCACGACAAAACAACATCCAGTCCACCATCTAGTCTCCGCCCCATGGCTCAGCCTCTGGCCTAGAAAGGAGTTTTGGTCTTACTGATTCTGGAGAGACCAAAGGAAGAGATTCAGGTTCTTCAGGAAGAGAGAAGAAGAGAGTTGCTACCCACCATGGGTGTTAGAGTTCATTTGGGACAAGGTTTTGTTTGTTTGTTTGTTTGGCATTTTGGGTTTGCTTTTTTGGTGCTACGTATTGAACCCTGGTCCTTACCCATGCTAAGCCCATGCTCTTCCACCAAGCTACACCCCCACCTTCCAGATAAAATGGGCTTTTTGAAACAAGAATGGGATTATACCAAGTCTTAGCCTGTTTTCTGTTGCTATAACAAAATAACTGAGGCCAGATAATTTATAAAGAACAGATTTAGAGGCTGGGGATGTGGCTCAAGCGGTAGCGCGCTCGCCTGGCGTGCGTGCGGCCCCGGGTTCGATCCTCAGCACCACATACAAACAAAGATGTTGTGTCCGCCGAAAACTAAAAAATAAATATTAAAATTCTCTCTCTGTCTCTCTTTAAAAAAAAAAAAAAAAAGAACAGATTTATTTGCCTTACAGTTCTGATGGCTGGCAAGTCCAAGAGCAAGGCACCAGCATCTGGTGAGGGCATTTTGGGCTGCATCATAACGTGGCATGGTGTCTTCTTTTTTTCTGCAGCGCTGGGAATGAACCCAGGGTCTTACTCATGCTAGGTGAGCACTCTGCTACTGAGCTGCACCCCCAGCCTGGTACCTTATTTTCATTCTCAACTTTCTGGCTATAAGTGAAAAGGTGTATAATTAAGAGGTGTCACTCTGTCCACAAGAACGTGAGAATAAATAGGGTCTCTTGGGGACTGTTCCTCCCCAGGGGAAATGGCACGGGGAGAGGAGGCTGGGCCACTCCTGGACTGAGCCTCATGTTTCCTTACCTTCTGCAGGAAGCCTGGAAGCATGCGATCGAGAAAGCCAAGCACATGCCCGACCCCTGGGCCGAGTTCCACCTTGAGGACGTTGCCACCGAACATGCTACTCGCCACAGGTCAGCGGCTTGTCTGGGGAGTTCTGGGATCCAGGGGTCTAGGGAGGTCCTGTCAGGGAGGCCCAAGTACCCTTGGAGTCAAAGAGAAGGGAGTAACTCAGGTCAAACACCCCAAATCTGGAAGCCCAAGTTTCAGTTTTTGGAGCATTTTAGATTACCAACCAGTGAAGTCTGTGCAAATATTCCAGAATCCAAAGAAATCCAAAACCTGGAATGTTTCGGGCCCCATGCATTTTGGATAAAGGGTACTCAACTTTTAATAACTGTGGACAATATTTGAGTGTTTGTGCATGCGGCAGGCACTACGCATTATCTCACTGAGTCCTTCTTAGAGTCCCACAGGGTACGTTTTAGGCAGATGAGGCTGAGCTATGCTGCAGTAACAAATAACCCAAGAGTTTCATGCAACAAAGTGTATTTCTTACATGTTGTGAAGTGGGGTGAAAGTTGAGGCCTCTTCGGAGCAGCTTGGGGATCCAGGTTGCTTCCACCTTGTGGCTCCATCTTCTCAACATGTGACCCCACAACTGCCACCAAAGGGAAGGATAGCATTGAGGAAGCACGGTAGCTTTTCAATGCCTGCCTTGACCCAGGAAGTAGCCTCCGTTTCTATGCATTTCAATAGCGAGATCTAGTGGCTGGGCCCCACCTCTTCCCCTGTCCTGCAGTACTACCTTCTCCCTCATGAAACCCTCCTCATGGGGTGGGTGCAGGGCAGACTAGCAGAGCAGGTACAGGCTTTGCTCCTTTCCTGCAAGAGCACTGTAGTAGCTGGCTGGTGACACACAGCTTCCAGGCTGAGGACACTCAGCCACCAGAAAGGCCCTGGGAATTACCAGCCTGGGAAATTTGGACATGTGCTGGGCCGGCTGTGTCTCCAAGCTCAGGCCAAAATGTTTATTTCCTAATTAAAGTAGCCGACTTCATTTCCCCTGGTTGCCCGGGGTAGGAGGCCATGCCTAGAATCTCCGGAGATTTCTAAACCAGAGGCTTCCTTCTCTGTTCCTGGGTTTTCATGAGTTAGGGTGCAAGCTGGCCCTTTACTGGGACAGATTTCCTGTCCATGTGGGTTGTACCCAGGCTGGTTGACAGCAGGGTTCTTACTTGAACCAACCTGCGTTTGAATCCTGGAATCTCTGGCAGAAACTTTGCCTCTCCCAGCTTCAGTTTTCCCTTCTGGAAAATGGGTGCAATAACTAGTAGTCTCAAGGTGACTGTGAAGGTTGAGTGAAGTGGAGTGAAGTGGATCGTGGGAGCTCAGCGAACTTGGAGCCCTCTGACCTTTATGATATTTAGTGGCTGTGACTCAGTAAAACCCTTACCAAGTCATACGCCTCCCCTGCCCCAGTCCCTGGGTTCCTCTCGTTCGCAGGCGAGGGAGGATTATTTTCAGTACCTTCATCTCTATCTAGTAATAAAGCAGGCATCGCTGTTATTTATTGAGCACTGTATTGCCAGGGGCTGGTTGCAAGCAAGTTTGCCGCTGTGAAAAGCCCTCCTCCTGGGGCCTGGGAGTTCCCTGCCAGGTCTCTGCTTGTTTTTCCTTGCAGAGGTTTCAGGCTCTGAGAAACCTGTTCTCACCAGGGCCGGGAGTGCCCTAGAGTCTGCCTGAGCTGCGGAGTGGGCCAAGAGAGGCATCAAGCAGATCTTGGAACACCTTGGTGCAGGGGAGGTGTTGGATGTTAGCGATCTGCTGAGCTGAGGCGCTTCCCACCAGACAAACCTGTTTGGGGCCTACCCAGGCCCAGGGTCAGATGTGCTCTGGGAAAAAGGATTCCTAGGAGGGAAGAGACAGAATGTTCCAGAACCTTCTCCATCTCTCTCTACCTTGGGCGTGAACCCAGCAGCCTCTTTCCTGGCTAGACTTGGAGCTAGGACCTTCCCCTTCCCCTCCCTGCTCATGAACAGTCTTTCTTGTGAAATAGTCCCATCTTCCTGGGCTGGGCCTGGCTCAGATGTGTGGTGAGGTGGAGAACACTGATGCCTCTCCCCAGGGATGTTCTGTTACATACATAAGGATATTTCTGCATTCAGTCACTCACCAGACGTGCATTTAAATATCCACCACACCAGGCCCCATCAGGGATGACCCACGAGGTCGGCAGGGCCTGTGGGCCAAGGAAGGGAGAGGCCTAGGTCATGGGGGGCCCAGACTTTAGCCAGTTAGAGACAGGATCACGTTTTGATTTTGCCTTCTGAGATGGGCACTGGTCTCTGCAGGTACAACGCTGTCACTGGGGAGTGGCTGGAAGATGACGTTCTGATCAAGATGGCATCTCAGGTGAGCTGGGTCCTGGGCTCCGAGGAGACAAGCCTGAGTGGGGACTTCCTCCAGCCAACCTCAATCCCTGTACTCTCCCCTCCACTCTGGCATCATTTGATTTTTGAACCTTGGGAATTCTTTATGTGATAGTTTGCGTAGTGTGCCTTTAAAAAATAGCTTTATTGAAGTATCATTCATATGCCAACAATTTGCCCATTTAAAGTACATAGGGCTGGGGATATAGTTCAGTCTTGGTAGAGTGCTTGCCTCGCATGTGCAAGGCCCTGAGTTCAATCCCCAGCACCACAAAAAATAAAAAATTAAAAAAAAAAAAAAACCTATCTATCTATCTATCTATCTATCAGTGCCGGGTGTGGCGGCACATGCCTGTGATCCCAGTGGCTCGAGAGCCTGAGGCAGGAGTATTGGGAGTTCAAAGCCAGCCTCAGCAACTTAGCGAGGCCCTAGACAACTCAGTGAGACCCTGTGTCTAAATAACATACAAAAAATGGCTGGGGTTGTGGCTCAGTGGTAAAGTGCCCCTGGGTTCAATCCCCTGTAACACACACACACACACACACACACACACAAAGGAGTTTAAAGTATAAAGTTCAATTGTTCTTAGTGTATTTACAGGGTTATGCAACTCTTACCATTATTAATTCCAGAACATTTTCACCTTCCCTAAACGAAATCCTGTGCCTACCATTGTCACTCCTCATTCCCTCAACTCCTCCCACCCCGGCAACCACGAATCTAACTTCTGTCCCTGTAGATTGGTCCATACTAGACATTTCATATCCTAAGAGACCCTATATCATAAATGACTGTTCTTGCCTAATTAGAACAAATTTAAAAAAGAAAAAGAAAAGACTGTTCTTGGGACTGGGGCTGGGACTCAGTGGTAGAGCACTAGCCTGGCATGTGTGGGTCACTGGGTTTGATTCTCAGCACCACCTATAAATAAATTAATTAAATAAAGGTTCATCGACAACTAAATATATTTTTTTTAAAAAGACTGTTCTCAGCACTTTTGCTGAAAATCAGTTAACTGTAAATATATTTATCAGTTCTTAAAAATTGGAGGTCACTACTTATAACTGAGCTATTGAATAAATTCAGAGGGTTGTAACCAGCCTTTTAAAAAGTAGAAAATAGTCCTTCCTGCTTGGTGAGGGTAAGGATCATCTCGGGAAGCTTTTTTTAGTGTAACATGCACAGCTTGGCTGGGGTATAGTTCAGTGGTAGAATATGTGCTCAGCATGCATGAGGCTCTGGGTTGAGTCCCCAGCACCAGAAAGAAAGCTTATAGCTTGATAAATTTTCACAAAGTGAGTGCACAGATCAAGAAATAGAATATAACCAGTGCTTCCAAAAGCCCATCTCATGCTGTTCCCTCCCCGCAAGTATAAGCACTACTCTGATTTCTATCACTCTAAATTAGTCATATATATATATATATATAAAATAACAATAATAATAAATTTTTTTCAGGGCTGGGAATGGAACCCAGTGTTTTGCACATGCTAGGCAAGCACCCTAACACTGAGCTACATCTCCAGCCCCATTTTTCCAGTTTTTACCAATGAAGCCACACTAACTGGGTTCTTTTGAGTATGGCTTCTTTTACTTAACACTTTGCATTTATTCTCCTTGCTGTATAATATTTCATCAAATGAACAGACCTAGTTGATTTCTTTAGTATATTAGTATATTGTTGATGACATTCATCTTGTTTCCCCTTTTTTTGGAAATAGTATATTAATTAGTTTTCTGTCACTGTAACAAAATACCTGAGATAATCAACTTAAAAGAGAAAAGATTTACTTTGGCTCATGGTTTCAGAATTTTCATTTCATGGTCGCTTGGTCCTATTTCTTTGGGCCTGTGGCAGCACAGTGCCTCATGGCTGGAGCATGTGGTGGTGGAGGCTTGTTCACTTCATGATGGCCGGAAGTAAAGAGAGAAAAAAGAGGGGCTGGGGTCCAACTATCCACTTCAAGAGTATCCCTCCAGCGACCTAATTTCCACTCCTAGGCTCTACTTTGTAAAGGTCTTACCACCTCCCAATAGTGTACTCCTCCCTGTCTCTTAGCAACTCCAGGCTGGAAGGCCTATCAGGCTTTGGTGCTGGGGTACAGCAGTGAGGGCTTAAGGATATTCGGATTGAGATGAGGTTCAGGGCATCTGCTGGGTAGGGGGTGTCTCAGGGGACCATCTCCTGCCTCAAGCTTGCTTCTGAGTGGGACATGGGGACTGATAACTCTCTGTGTGTTCTTTCAGCCATTCGGCCGTGGAGCAATGAGGGAGTGCTTCAGGACGTAAGTGACTCAGCCTGGCGTGTGGGGTTCTGCCCAGACTTGGCCAGGCTCCTTAGACCTAGGAAATTGGGACATTTTCAGCTAATGACTGGAGACAGTGACTTCTGCGTTTTTAAAGCCCACGATCTGCCAGGTGTAGTGGTGCCTGCCTATAATCCCAGTGACTCAGGAGGCTGAGGCAGGAGGATTGCTAGTTTGAGACCAGCCTCAGCAACTTAGGAAGATCCTAAGAAACTTAGCAAGACCCTAAGCAACTTAGCAAGACCCTGTCTCAAAATAAAAAAATTAAAAGGGACAGGGGGTGTAGCTCAGTGGTTAAATGCCTCTGAGTTCAATCTCCAATACCAAAAAAAAAAAGCCTAAGTTCCTCTCCATCTGGTGTGTATTGGACCACACCTTGGACCTGGCTGTGGGGATTGGGCTCCAGGAGAACAGGGTCAAGGAAAGGGGATAGGAGAACTTCAACAGTGACCCTACCCCTCTTCCTAGCTCTTTGAAGTGTGCAGTGGAGTGGGGATGCCCCTCCCACCTCTGCATTTCTGTCTCCAGTTATCCATGTCATGTCAGGTAGGTCCCCAGTGAACCCCAAGGTGCCCAGACAGGCCTCCTCTCTTTCCCCAGGAAGAAGCTCTCCAACTTCTTGCACGCCCAGCAGTGGAAGGGAGCCTCCAACTACGTGGCCAAGCGCTACATCGAGCCCGTGGACAGGGACGTGTACTTTGAAGACGTTCGCCTACAGATGGAGGCCAAGCTCTGGGGGGAGGAGTATAATCGGCACAAGCCCCCCAAGCAGGTATGACCCCCTCCTTGCCTCCTTCCCACTCAAGAGCCGAGGGGACAGCATCTGGGGATGGAGGATGGTGGCACTAATAGGGGCCTTTCTTCACCTTCTAATAACAACCCCTATTTGCGGAGCACAGTGAACCACGTACCTGATATGCAGAGAGTCATCTGTTCCTCAAAACCGAGCTCTGAGGTTGTAATGTTTTTAATCCCCATTTCCAGATGGGATCGGTTAAATATTTTTGGTTGCAAATGATGAAAACTCACTTGACTGGCTTAATTCAAAAAGGGAATTCATTGTTTCATGCACCAGGAAAAAAAAAATAGTGTCAACTATAGGCGTGGCTGGATCCTGGACCAAAGTGAGGTTATCAGGACTCTTCCCCCATCTCTGGCTGGGTGTTCCCTGTGCTGACAACACTCTCAGGCAGCCTCCAGGGTCACTTTCTGTCTTCTCATCAGTCCTGTTAGAATGGCGATACTTACTTTTCCTTAACTTCCAGTGAAAGTCTCAGACTTGGATTTTATTGGTTCTGATGAGGTCAGATGCCTATGCCTGAGCCAATCACAATGACCAAGAGAAAAAAATATGCAGATTAGGCCTATTTAAGCCAATCACAATGACCAAGAGAAAAGAATATGCAGATTAGGCCTATTTGAGCCTTGGAACCAGGAAGGTAGGGCATTCCACCCAGGCCACCTGGACAGAGGCTGGAGATGCAGTGGCTTCCAAGAAAAAGCAGGAGGAGTGGGGAATGGACACAGCATTGGCTCCCTGAGGAACTCAGAGCTCAGTGGGGTTAACTGACTTGCCCAGCTAGGTGGGGATGGAGCCACGGCTCAAATCCAGGCCTTCCCACTCTCTGCCAGGGTTGGCCCCTTCACTTGAGACCATTGGGCACTATTGCCTATGGGCACTTAAGGAATCATTGGTTCATGCTCAGCCTTCACTGCTTGAGCACTACTCCTCCGTGTCTCAGAGAATCACACTTCCAGGCAACCAGCAGAATTTATTGAGCACCTGCTGTCTGCAAAGCCCTTGATTAAGTATACTTGGAGTGGACATAAGAAGTTCCCATTCTCAGTGGCTGTGATCTCCTTAGAATTTGGCTACACGCTGGTCTTGATCTGTCCAATTCTTGCATGGCTAGCTCCGTCTCATAGTTCAGGTCTCGGTTCATGTCTTACCTACTCGCCAAGGCCATCTGTGACCACCCTAAATGAAGTCACCCTCTCACCCCCACCACCTCTGCCATGTTATTCTGGTTTATTGTATTTTCTTTTCTTCTGAGCAGTTAGTGCTTTCTGGAAGAGTCTTGTGCATGTAGTTAATATTTTAGTTGCTTTCCTCTGAAGGCAGGAATTTGGGTATCTAGTAAATAGTGATGTGATTGAATTCAGAGAGCGAGATAAGTGTGGTTGTTTGAGCAGGTACTGGCTGTCCACACAACCTGTCCCACTGCCCCTTGCCCAGGGAGCCCCCTGGCCAAGCAAGTGGCCCTACCACAAGCATCCATGTAGAGATAGAGCCATCATGGGAGGTGGGAGCCCTCTGAGAACTGAACTTCCCCTTCTTGCCTCAGCTCTCAGCTTTGGCTTCTGTGACTTCTAAAGCTATTGTCCGCCTATCTGGTGACTCAGCCTCTCTGAACAGTCATTTTCTTGGAAAACCCAGACCTGGTTCCTCCCATGTTGTGGGTGGCACTGAGAGTGGAGGATGCTATGGGTGAGTCTTTATGTAGAAAGATGAAATATATAAGCCACAGGTCTTCCCTACCCACTTTTTAAACTCTATGTGTCATTTATACATTTTCTCCTACATGAAACATTAAACGTATACTTTACGAAATTTCAACACAAACAACAAAATTTCTCATAATTTCCCATTGCAGGGAGAGAACCTCTACAGGTTGGCATAGATGACTAAACTCACGTCCGCTGATGATAATGATGTTGCAAATATTGACTGACTCCTTTGTGTATCAACAATTTAATCTTTGTATTAAGTCTGAGATTCCCCTCTTCACTGGGAGGAAATTGAGGCACAGGTGAAATAATGCACTACTTACTATTCATAGTATTAGTGGAAGGCACAGGCTAAGTTGCTGGCAAACATTCCTGCAAACATGTTTATGTAAAATGGGTTTCTCTCTTGCTCATGCTTTGGGGTGGCTTAAAGTGGGCAGGTGCCTCAATCCTTAAAGTCATCGGGAGGCCTGGTTTCTTCTGTCTTGTGACTCTGCCCTCCCTGGGGTTGCTGTGGGCTACAGGGTTGATTCTGGCTCACCAGCAGAGCCCACCTTGCAGGGCAGGCTGCAGCTATGGCATTGCACCTGCTCCTTTCCCATTGGCTGGGGGTGGTCACATGACTGCCCTAGCTGCAAGGGAGGCGGAGCAATGCCATCCCTTCGTGATGCATCTTGGGGATAATTAGTAGTTCTGCCACAGTCATCTGGGGAGTGGTGGAGCCAGAGTCAGAGCCCTCCAGGCCCTGCCCTTCCACCTGACCCCACTCCCTGACCTCCTCCCAGGTGGACATCATGCAGATGTGCATCATCGAGCTGAAGGAGAGACCCGGCCAGCCACTCTTCCACCTGGAGCACTACATTGAGGGCAAGTACATCAAGTACAACTCCAACTCAGGCTTTGTACGCGATGACAACATCCGCCTGACTCCACAGGTAAGGCCCCGGCTTGCTCTGCATATACTTACACTCTCCACCCACCCTAGCCCTTTGGAGTGAAGCCTGGCCAGGGTCAGCCCTAGAAAGGAGGATCCTTGTGGGAATGAGGTCTCACATCCCCAGAGGCCCCCCAGGCTCCTTGAAGTGTTCCAAAGGAGATTCTGTTACCAAACACCTGTCATCCCATGCCAGCTTCTACCAGCAGACCTAAGTTGGCCACAGGATTGCATCACCAAGGTCCTTGCAGAACTGAACAAGCCTCCTTCCTCTATCTTGTCCTCTATACAATTGTGCTTTGCAGAGAAAGTACCCCAGCTCAGGCAGAGCTGGGATGTTATACGCCCCAGCCACCACAGTGACTGGCCAGCGTCTGCAGAGTTCACAGCCCGGGCTCTTAAAACCACCTTTTTCTAACTGTTTCTCACAGGCCTTCAGCCACTTCACGTTTGAGCGTTCTGGCCATCAGCTGATCGTGGTGGACATCCAGGGTGTGGGTGACCTCTACACCGACCCGCAGATCCACACGGAGATGGGCACGGACTTTGGAGATGGCAACCTAGGTCAGTGGGGAAGCCAGAGCGTCCTTCCTCCGAGCATCTGCAAGTTCTTAACTCACCCAAGGAGACAGACAGAGACAGCCAATGGGCCTTCCCAAGTGTATCGAGATGGGAGCCTGGGATATCTGACCCTCACTTCCAGCTCAGCATGTTTCCACCCACCCTGGCCATGTGTCTGTTACTCACTCTGCCTTTCCCCTATTCAGATGCAAAGTGACACTTCAGATGCCCCTGTTCTGTCCACAGGTGTCCGAGGGATGGCTCTCTTCTTCTACTCTCATGCCTGCAACCGAATATGCCAGAGCATGGGCCTCACTCCTTTTGACCTCTCACCCCGGGAGCAGGATGCATTGAATCAGAATACCAAGATGCTGGTGGGTGCCCAGGGTGAACCTGGCCCGTCTGCCAGGCAGCAAGCCCTGCTTTTCTATACTGGCAGCTGGGCCTGGAGTGCTGAATTCAAGAATATCAGGGCTGATAAGATCCATCCCATCTGTTCCTCAATGCATCCCCTTCAACTTGGTGCACAGAGCCCTTTGGAGGGTCCCCATGATAGAGTAGCTGTTATCTGCTTGAGTTGGGCCCATTTGTGACCAGAGTGAGGAAGACCAGCAGGTAGGAAAGGAGAGACGGTGTGTGGTGTGTGCTTGTGTGGTATATTGACAAATGAGAGATTAGACTCACACCTGGCTCTCTGGGCATCTTATTGTGTGCAAGATGAGATTACACCACCACACCCCTGCTTACACAGACCAGATGCAGAATATTGGCAAAGACCAGCTTGGGATCCTGGACATATATTGGAATATATTGTCCAGCTCAGGGCTGCAAAGTATGGCTATCACTTTAGAAGATGCTGGCTGGCAGGCCCTTTGAGATCTGTACCATGTGCCCCTTCTTGGATACCTGAGGGTTAATCCTGCACTGATTTTTTTTGCATGCAAAAGAGCAATAGCTAAAAGGGGTTCAGGGATAGAGGGAAACAACAGAAAGAACAAAAAGAGCCCCTCATTCCCCAGAGAGTGACTACATGACATAAGTATCCCTGTTACCATCCCCAGCAATCAGCCAAGACCACCTTAAGGGGGACAGAGGAAAAGTGCGGGAGCCCCCGAGTGAGGACCCTCTCTGGCAGCCGGCCCCCCCTGCTCCTTCGCCTTTCAGAGAACTCTGGAGACGAGAACATGAGTGATGTGACCTTCGACTCTCTCCCATCTTCCCCTTCGTCAGCCACACCACACAGCCAGAAACTGGACCCCCTCCGTGAGTGATGATTTGGTGTTCGGTCATTGTGATTGGAGGGTAGAGCAGAGATGAACTGGTTTTCACTCCTGCTGGTAAATCAGACGTGCTAATCAAAAAGGTTCATGGCCCAGAAGGTTTCATGGGTGAGTTCTTTGAATGAACTTTCAAGAAATAGGTCAACCAAATTCTATAGAAACAGCCCCTATGGTAGAAAAAATTTGGCAACATTTTTCAGTGTGTTTTATGAAACTAGTAAAACCCTTATACCAAAATATGACAAAACACCAAAAAAAAAAAAAAAAAAAATCCCCAAACCCAGAAGATTTTATTATATCCCAACCTCAAAATTACATCAAAATTCTGAATGAAGTATTAACAAATAAAAATGAATAGTGTTATAAAAAGAATAGTCCGTCATAGTTGAATGTGAGAATTGTACAACTATTAGGGCATCTATTAACATCACATTAATAGGTCAGAGGAGAAAAGTGGAATCGTTATTTAAGTGGGTCTTGCAATGTTATTGTCCCTGCTGACCTGGAACTTGTGATCCTCCCACCTCAGCCAAGTAGCTTGGACCAGAATCATGTGTCACCACACCCAGCCAGAGAGTAAATATTTTAAGCTTTACAGGCCACGTGGTCTTTGCGTTTGCAGCATGAAAACAGCCATAGACTGTGAACGAATGAGTCTGTGTTCAATAAATTTACAGTTTATTTACAGTCACTGAAGCTTAAATTTCATGTGATTTTCACATGTCATAAAATATTCTTCTTTTGATATTTTATATTTGTCCAAACCTGGAACACCTGAGCTCAAGTGATCCTTCTGCCTCAGCCTCCTGAGGAGCTGGGACTCTTAGAGCTGGGACTATGGGCATGTGTCACCATACTCAGCTGTTCTTTTGATTTTTTTTCCCCCCAACTATTTGAAAATGTAAAAGCCATTTTTACAACTTTTTTTGGTGTGTGCTGGGGATGGAACCCAGGGCCTCATGCCTGCTAGTCACACACTCTACCACCGATCTATGCCCCCAGCCCTCAAATTTAATCAAAATGGGCAGCCAGACAGATTTGGCTCAAGAGAGCTTAGGTCAGGAGACAAATAGGAAAATACCAGGAGTTGGTTGGTTTTGAAGCCATCTGAGACCCATTCAGTGGGCCCCAAATTACATATGATTTTTCTTTCTTCACAACTGCATTTAATTCAGAGCTGAGCATGGTGACAAAAACATTACAGGTAAATTGCATTATGACTTGAGGGTGACGCTGCTTGCTCAGGACCCTGTAGTTTGTGAGAGGTAGACTTAGAATAAGTTCTTTTTTTTTTGTCTTTTTTTTTTTAAGAGAGAGAGAATTTTTAATATTTATTTTTTAGTTTTTGGCGGACACAACATCTTTGTTTGTATGTGGTGCTGAGGATCGAACCCGGGCCGCACGCATGCCAGACGAGCGCGCTACCACTTGAGCCACATCCCAGCCCAAGAATAAGTTCTTGAGAAAGAACTGAAGTCAGTCCCCCAGGGTCTGACCACATTCTTCTCCCATTTTATGCCTTTCTTTAAAAATTACAAATAGCCGAGTGTAGTGGCGCAGGCCTGTAATCCCAGTGGCTCAGGAGGCTGAGGCAGGAGGACCACGAGTTCAAAGTCAGCCTAGTGAGGCCCTAAGCGACTCAGTGAGACCCTGTCTCTAAATAAAATGCAAAAAAAGGGCTGGGGATGTGGCTCAGTGGTTAAGTACCCCTGGGTTCAATCCCCAGTCCAAAAAGAAATAAATTAGTTAAAAATAAAAGCTTGGTGGCCAGTACAGTCCGCCATAGGCAATAGGTTGGGCTGGTGAATGTTCCAGCAGTAGAATCTGCACATTACCTCTGTTTCTTCCTGCCCAGATTGGCCCATGTTTGGTGACCTTGATAACATGGCACCCAGAGACCACGACCGTCTAGACAACCACCGGGTGAGTGGAGAGTAAGGGAAGGAGGAGGGGCTCTGGGCCCCAGCAGGGTGGGAGGGCTGAGCTCTCTTAATGGGGTGAGCCTTCAGATTCAGGTGGGTAGCCCAGCCCAGGTGTGCTCCAGGAAATGCCCAGAGGGCTTGGGCTGGGGCAGCTGGACAAAGTGAAGGAACTCAGTCTGCTGCCAAGGCAGAGCTTCCTCTGGGAAAAAGCCGTGTCCCTTCAGTTCCTGGAGATCAGGGAAGATTATTTCCAAATCAGCAGCAGCACATGCCAGGCTCAGCCCTGGGTTGGGTCTGGCCACACATGTGCGGATGCCTGACCCTGAGCGGGTTACAGTCATGGAACCTACAGCCTGGTGGCACAGTGCTCTCGGGTTGCATAAAGAGACTGTCTCCTGCAGCTTCAGGTTGACTCAGCAGTGAGAAACTAAAGGCACTATGTTTGCATCTGCCCGAATATATATTATGGCATCAAAGTAAAAATTAAAACTAAAAGTGGATAAATGCACAGGTCACAGTCCCACTTTTGCTCTACTGATTACCCCAGAGGTTCAAGCTCATTCCTGGATGCTTTTCAGAGTTCTTGAATAGAAGGGGAAAATAATAATAGGTGACATGTATGGAATTGCCACTGGGAACAGTTTTAAGGATTTGGTAGATATCCTCATTTAATTCTCAAAACTTACAAGGTTTATTATTTTTTTTATTCCTTTTAGAGTAAATTTTATTCTAGAAGTAAAGTTTAGAATTTTGGGAATAGGTAATACATTTTCCTGGTTCAGGAGGAAAAGGTCTGAAAGATTAGCACAGTAGAAAGTCTCCTTCCCACCCTGTCCCTTCTTGGCTTCCGGTCCCAGTGTTAGCAACCCCGGGGGCCATTCTCTCTCTCATTGTCCCTGATTTAGAGTTGAAGAAACTAAGGCACAGAAGTTAAGGTACTTGCTCATGACACTTAGCAATGGAGCCAGGGTTCAAACCCAAGCTCTCAAACCCAAACCCGCCCTCTGCTCTTCTGTCCTTTGCTGCCTTCTGTTTTACAAAAACCTTGGAGTTGGTATTCATCTATTTCTCAGGTGAGAAAACTGAGACTGGGAGAGGCTGCCTGCCTCACTAAGCCACTGAGCTGAGATCTAAGTGAGGCTCTGTGTCCCACAGCTTCGGAGGGATTCCAAAAGGAGGAACATGTGCCCAAGGTTGTGTGGTTCTGAGGTCCAAGAGAGGGGTGCTTCAAGCTCCTGAATAAGGCCTGCAATCCATTTTCAGTCTTTTATCTGGCATACTGAATAGTTGGGTATTATAGAACATAATGCATCAATTTAAAGAGTTGAAAATGTCTTTCCCGTGTGCTAGGGATTAAACCCAGGACCTTGCATCTGCACCCTACCACTGAGCTACATCCCCGCTCCTTAAATGTGAAAATATTAGACCAGGCACTGTGGTGCATGCCTGTCATCCCAACTACTTGGGAGGCCAAGGCAAGAGGATTGCAAGATTGGGGCCAGTCTGAGCAATTCAGCAAGACTCTGTCTCAAAAATAAAAAGGACAGGGGACATAGCTCAGTGGTAGCATGCTTGCCTAGCTTGCATGATGCAAAAACAAATAGATAAAAATAAAAATAAAATTTAAGTAATATAAAATGGTTTATTCAAATAAAAACAATAGGGACTGAGGATGTAGCTCAGTGGTAGAGCTCACCCAGCGTGGTAAGGCCCTGAATTCAACTCAAGAAATAAGTGAAGGAAGGAAGGAAAGACAAAAAATACTAATATATGAAAAGTCTGAATTCATGGAAGGGGAAGTGAATGAGAATTGACAGGATTCGTAGCAGGTTGAAATTTTAATGGTGATGTTTTAAGTACTTTTAAAAATTAAAGGGCTTACATAACTCGGGCATAATGCTGAGTTGACAAAGTTGGGTGATGGGTACATAGGAGTTTATTTTAGATTTTTTTTTTTTTTTGTACCAGGGATTGAGTCAAGGGGTGCTTAACCACTGAGCCACATCCCCAGCCCTTTTTATTTTTTTATTTAGACACAGGGTCTCCCTAAATTGCTTAGGGCCTCACTAAGTTGCTGAGGCTGGCCTTAAACTTGTGATCCTCCTGCCTCAGCCTCTCTAGTTGCTGGAATTACAGGCACGCAACACTACAGCTGGCTTGTTTATACTCTTTTGAGTGTTGAAATACCACTTAGTAGAAGAAAGAGGAGTAGAAAACAGATTAGATTACTGACAACATGCAAATAGGGTCAAAACTCAACATTGGTAGGCAAAGACTGAAGTCTTTGAGATTCTTAATTTTTCCAGATTCAATTTCAAAGTAGATCTAGGAGATTAAAAAAAAACATGTATGTGGAGTTTGGTAGAGGGGACTTAGTTGTGGTGAATACTGTTTACCAGGGCTGTATCTTTGTCCTTGGTCATTGATCCTAAGCCAGCTTCTGTTCTCTGCCTGTGAATGGGTGAGCCGCTCTTAGTAATAGCACTCATCATGACCCACATTACTTTCATCCTCACCGACCTTTGATGTAGGTGCTAGAATGAATCCCCATAGCTAAGGAAACCAAAGCTCAGAGAATCTGAACAACTGCCCAGGTAATAGCTGGCAAGTAACAAAGTCAGGACTTGAGTCTGGGCAGTGTGGCTCCAACCCCCAGGTTCTTTGCCACCACTCCACACGGCTTCCTTGTCCCCCAATCCTCATGGGACAGGAAGAAGAGCAGGTTAAATGAAGAGATGGAACAAGGGGCAGAAAGCTGATGATTAGGATGTGCTCAGATCCACCAAGTCCTCAAAGGACCTCTAAGACCCTAAGATCATCTTCTGTCCACAGGACTCTGAGGCCAGTGGGGATAGTGGATACCCCAGTGAAAGGCGGGGTGAGCTGGATGACCCAGAGCCCCGAGAACAGGTAAGGATCCCACAGACAATGAGAGTAGAGTTTCCTGTTGCCTCATTGGTCCTTCAAGAGGATAAAATCTATAGAAAGGGAATGTGAGTGGGTTCTGAGAATATAACAAGTAAAATAACAAGATTATTTCAGATAAATATAAATGCAGAGCAGAAGGTAAAATGTAAAATGGGTAATGTGGGCCACGAAAGGGAGGAGGGTGGTATCTTGGATATAAGGTTGAAAATGGCAGACGAATCTTATGGTGCAGCTGGGGCGTTTGGTTATTATGGGGAGCGGAGGCTGGGTAATTGGCTGGGCCGTGTCCACACCAGTCCCTCATTCCTGCCTGTGGCCTGACATCCCTTTAGCTTGGCAGATAAGGGTTCCAGCTTCTGCTGGGGAGGGCTGGGCCAGTTCACTGCGAGAAGAGCCCCCTGGGAAGGTCAGCCTCTTCTGAATGGAGGGCCACCTGGAAGGGCTGGGCCAGTTCCCCAGCGGGAGGCTCTTGGGAGAGAGGTCTGTCCTCGGAAAAACTCAATCTCCACTTCCATCCAGGGCCACTCAAATGGCAACCGGAGGTACGAGTCCGATGAGGACAGCCTGGGCAGCTCCGGACGGGTAATACAGTCTTGGGATCTCTGGTCACTTGCTTGTCTGTGGAGGGCTCTGTTTCTGTTTCTCCTCCTTCACGTCACTGCCACCTGCTCGTCCTCCTTGCATGTGTCCATTTTGCAAATGAGCAGATTGCCTGGGCAGACATGCGGTGCCATCCTGTGCAGGAACTTGTGGGGAACATTCAAGACATGGTCCTGGAGGGGAAATGACAATGGCTGTAGCTCACGTGTTAAAGTGCTTGACTAGAGGAGCCTTGTGCACTTTATTAATCCATTTATTTATTTATTTATTTATTTATTTTGTGGGGGGTGGTATTGGGATTGAACCAAGGGGCATTTTACCACTGAGCCACATCCCCAGCCCTTTTTATATTTTATTTTGAGTCAGGGTCTCACTAAACTGCTTAGGGCCTCACTAAGTTGCTGAGGTTGTCTTTGAACTTGCGATCCTCCTGCCTCAGCCTCTCAGCTGCTGTGATTTCAGGTACGCATGACTACCCCCAGCTAATCCATTTATTTCTTGTAGCCATTCAATGAGATAGGCTAAGGTTACTCATCCCCATTTTATGTATGAAAAACTTGGATCTTAAGCAACTTTCCTTAGATTCCCAAGCTAGTCCAGATTGAGTATTCCATATCTGAAATGTTTGGGACCAGAAGTATTTTGGATATTTTTGGATTTTGGAGTCTTTGCATATATACAATGAGATAACTCGGGGATGAGACCAAACTCTAAACATGAAATTCGTTTCTATTTCATGTACACCTTAGCCCCATAGCCTGAAGGTAATTTTAAAAATTTTATTTTTTAGTTGTAGATGAACACAATACCTTTATATTATTCATTTATCGTTATGTGGTGCTAAGGATTGAACCCAGAGCCTCACACTTGCTAGGCAAGCACTCTATCACTGAGCCACAACCCAGCCCCTGAAGGTAATTTTATAGGACATTTTTAGTGCACCTATGTTTTGACTACAGCCCATCTCATGAGATCAGGTATGGACTCTTCCACTGGTAATGTCATGTTGTACTCAAAAAGTTTCAGATTTTGGAGCCTTTACAATTTCTGATTTTTGGATCAGGAATGCTCAGCCTGTATGTGTAGCAAGCATCCCAGATGGTGGTTAGCATTAGGCAAGTCTCAGACCAGCCCTACACCTCACTTGCTCTTCTCTACTGACTCCCAAACACAACTTGCTTGGATCCCCACCATCCACACCTTTGCTAAGAGGACGAGTCTCTCTCCCCTGCAAAGTCTTTCCTTCCCCTGTGTCCATTCCTCCTCAAATCCTGCTCTCCAAGCCTGGATGCCATTGGCCCTCCCTGACATTCCCAGCAGTCCTGACTCTTGCTCCTCCCAGAATGCTGAGCTGTTTCTCCATCAGGTCAGGTTTCCCCAGCTCAGCATGGTGCAGGGTTGCTCAATCAGGGCACTGTTGGCATTCAGGGTTGGATCGCTCCTCGTTGTGGGGTGGCCCTGTGCATTGCAGGATGTTGAGCTGCCTGGCTGGGACCTGCAGGAACCTCTGGACAAGTGTATCTTCAGCTGGAAGAAACCATGTGTTTTCTAAACCCATGCCCAAAGCACCCTTTGATGTCACCCACAGCATCAGGGTGGATTTGGAAGAGAGCAAGTGGATCTGCTGAAGTCTGAATTTTCTCATGCCTTGTATGGGGTTTAGTGTGTTGAGCCCCCCAACCAGACTCAGATTAATAAATAGGGGGAATCGCTTCTCTGAGCTGCTGCTGTCTGTTCTCCTCTGAGTCCTGTGGTTGCTGTCTCTCTGCACCTGCTAGCTGGTGGCATTTGAATGATTAGAATTGGAAAACATTTGTCCAATAAAATCGGACACTGTAAGGATTTGTTCTCCCTCTTACCAGCAGGCTCCTGGGTGCTGGTAGCAGGGGCAGCTGAGTACGGGACAACAGGTCTACCCCAGCCCCTCTTGTCTCTGACCTCTAAGCTCTGTCCCTGTCCCTCCCCTCAGGTCTGTGTGGAAAAGTGGAACCTCCTCAACCCCTCCCGCCTCCACCTGCCAAGGCCATCAGCGGTGGCCCTCGAAGTGCAAAGGCTTAATGCCCTGGACCTTGAAAGGAAAATCGGGAAGTCTGTTTTGGGGAAGGTATTGTTGATGCCCATTTCGCAGCCCTTTCTGCACGAGCCCGGGGCCCCTGGCCCACGCCTCTCCTGTGCCAATCGCTTCCTCCCGCAGGTTGGCTGGGCGGCCCTTGGGTGCGGCTTGGGCTTCGCAGACAGCCGGGCCAACACCGCAGTCTGTGTGGCAGGTCCATCTGGCCATGGTGCGCTACCACGAGGGCGGGCGCTTCTGCGCCAAGGACCAGGAGTGGGACCGCGACTCGGCGCTCTTTCATCTGGAGCATGCGGCAGACCTGGGCGAGCTGGAGGCCATCGTGGGCCTGGGACTCATGTACTCGCAGCTGCCCCACCACATCCTGGCTGACGTCTCTCTGAAGGTGAGGGACTGGACGGTGGAGACCCCGCAGGAAGTGGAGGGCTCCGCCCACCCAGCCATCACCTGCCTCCTGTCCTGGAGGTCACTCACTCACCTGCCTCCCTGAGGATGATACAGGCCCCAGAAACATCCTGGGCATTGGTTTGGGGTCAGGTACTTCAAAGTCAAAACTGGCAGACTTGATCTCTGGCTTTGGGGAATGAGTGGGGAGGGACAGTCACATTTCCAGGCAATAGGGACAGTATGATGGGAGAAGCAGAGGAGACTGGTGGACACAAATGAGGAAAGGCCCTAGGGGCTTTTGAGTGGTCCCTGCGGGCCTCCTGTCATCAGCTCTGCCATACCCCTAGTGGCTAGAGCAGAGCCTGGCACTGGGAGATGCCCATTCACTGACCCAAAGGCCAGTGGGAGTGAGTAGGTCAGACTGAGGGAGCCGCTCAGGCCCAGAGGTGAGAGACAGACAGTTAGGTAGAGTCTAGAAGGTGGTCAGTGGGGTTGGAACACAGGGATGAGATGGGTGCAGGGTTGGGGCTAAGGAGCAGTCAGGGTAGGATGTGAAGGAGCAGGATGTGAATGTGTTGGGAACTGTGTAGGGGTCTCCTCCTTCCTTCCTGGTCATGGGCACAGAAGAAAGGATTGAATGGACCTGTTCTGGCAAGACCTGGGGAGTGCCCTAGTTTCCTGGGAGAAGTTGGGAGGCTTTTGGTGGGTATGGCTGGAGCAGAGGCTCAATATGGGTCCAAGGCAACAGCCCTCCTCAGGGCTTGATCATGGCTTGTCAGCAGGCACATCTCAGATGAAGAGGGTGGTGAAAAACACTTTGAAGACCTTATTTATTTAAATAGGTAATACACTCATGAAAAAGTAAAAAAAAAAAAAAAAAAATTAAGCTGGGTGTGGTGACTCATGCCTATAATCACAGCTACTGGGGTGGCTGAGGCAGGAGAATCATAAGTTCAAGGTTAGTCTGGGCAACTGTCTCAAAATAAAAAATGAAGATGGACTCAGTGGTGCACACCTGTAATCCCAGAGACACTAGAGGCTGAGGCAGGAGGATTGTGAATTCAAAGCTAGCCACAGAAACTTAGTGAGGCCCTAAGCAACTCAGTGAGACCCTACTGGGGAGTGGCTTAGTAGTTGAGTGTTCCTGGGTTCAATCCCTGGTACCCCCCCAAAAATGAAATTGAAAACACAAAAAGGGCCGGAGATGTAGCTCAGTGGCATGAAAAAAAAGAATGATATTTAAAGGTTTACAGTGCAAAATCCCCCTCCCACTTTTCCTCCCATTCTCTCATTTCTGAAAAACACGTATAGCTGTAATTACCAATTTTTCATATATAATTGCAGAAATGTATTAATTACCTAAGATATAGTAACAAATTACTACAACCTGAGTGTAGGACCATGCTTCCTCTGAGGCTCTAGGGGAGAACCTTCCTTATCTCTTCTGGCTTCTAGAAATTGCCCGCAGTTTTTGGTGTTCCTTGGCTTGAATCATTTCAATCCCTATCTCTGCCTTCACGTGGCCTTCTACCCACATGTCTCTGTCTCTGTGTCTCTTGTGTTTTTATGGACACCAGCCATGTTGGATTTAGGGTCCTCGTAATCCAAGATAGTCTCCTCCTAACATAACTACCTAACATCTGTGAAGACCCCGTTTCCAAATCAGATTACATCCTGAGGTTCTGGGTGGACATGAATTTTGGGAGGCATATTATTCCTTCCCGAACACAGTTTTCACCTGCAAATATGGAGTACAGATTCTAACAGTCCACCTTCTTATTTTTCCTCCAAAGTTAGCATACTGTACACACTTTTGGGACCTTGTTTTTTTCACTAGACCTTAATTTTCCACAGTGTCACACAGAAAGCTTCCTGATTCTTTGTTGACAGTGTTCCACAGAATGGATATGACACACTTTAACCTGTGCCCTGTCGATGGATTCTTGGGGTGGTTCCACTCTTTTGCTGCTGTGACTAGTCTTATCCGCATTAAGTGGAACCTTATGAAACTTCACATTTTTTAATAGATCATGAACTGTAGAATGTTGGTAGCTTCCTGTGGTTTAGTTGACTATAATATTTGGCATGCAGGCAAGGGATACCACAGCTGTTTTTATTTCCTATTTTATTCCCTATTCTCCCATCTCTGTGCTTCTTGGGGGCAGGACTGAATATATCTCATTCAATGAGTGATGTGCTGCTAAACATTCAGTAGTTGGCTTTCAGAGATGCAGAGGAAATCTGTGCATATATATATACATATTATATAGTTTGCTGACATAAAGAATATGCAGCATATGTTTTACAAATAGCAATAAAAGTACTCTTGTAAATTCTATATTGTCAGAATACGTTCATTGGTTTTTGCCAACTTTTGCACATAACAACCTACCTGTGGTGGTAACTGGTGAAGGGGTATAGTTCTGACATGAACGTTGGTTGATATTTTCATTTACCTTAATAAGTAAGATGACAGTGAAATAAAGAAGACCTGTGTTAGAACTGGAACTTCATTTGCCCCTGACCTGAGTAGATTCTTTCCTGCATCAGATAATAGTTTTAAGTGCTGGAAGAACATTCTTTTAATTTCCATCACTAGGCATGATGGAATGGTTACAGAGATGAAACAATTTGAAGCTTAATCTGCACTATTCCTATTTTTTCTTTCCCTTTCTGAAGTTCAGATATGGAGAAAACAATTAATCAAATCCTGATTTGTAGCATGGTCTACTTTAGGGGAGGAGTGGGGTACAAACTCCTGCCATGGTCAATTTATTAGTTGTTGATGGACCTTTATTTATATGTGGTGCTGAGAATTGGACCCTCACACATGCCAGGCAAGCACTCTACCACTGAGCCATAAGCCCAGCCCTTTTGTTATCTTTTTTTAATATTTTATTTTTCAGTTATAGGTGGACAAAATATTGTTATTTTATTTTTATGTGGTGCTGAAGATCAAACCCAGTGCCTCACGCATGCTAGGCGAGTGATCTACCTCTGAGCCACAACTCCAGCCCCCTTTTTATTATTTTTGATTGACAATGATTGTACATGTTTATGGGGTATAGTGGGGGGGGTTTTGAAACGTGTATATGATGTGTGATGATTGGTATATCTGTTATCTCATACATTTATCATTTCTTTTATGAGAACATTCAAAACCCTCTAGCTATTTTGAAACACTTTATTTTTAGCTGTAGTTGCCTTGCTGTGAAATGGAACTCCAGAACTTACTCCTCCTATCTGCTTGTAACTTTATACCCAGTGACCAACCTCTCCTCCTCCTTCCCTTCCCCTCCCCAGGCTCTAAAAATACAGAACACTTCGCAGATTTGTATGTCATCCTTGCAAAGGGACCATGCTCATCTTCCCTGTGTGGTTCCAATTTTAGTATAGGTGCTGCCCAAGTGGACACTCAACAAATCCTAACCAGGGATTTGCCTCCTTCCTCAGGGGACATTTAGCAATGTGTGGAGACTATCTATCTATCTATCTATCTATCTATCTATCTATCTATCTATCTATCTATCTATCTGTTTGTTTATTTGCCAGGGCCAGGGGGTACTGGAGATTGAACCCAGGGATGCTCTAATACTGAGCAACATCCCCAGCCCCTTTTTTCTTTTTTAATATTTATTTTTTAGTTGTAGATGGACCCAATACCTTTATTTTATTTATTTATTTTATGTGATGCTGAGGATCGAACCCAGGGCCTCGCACATGCTAGGGGAGCGCTCTACCGCTGAGCCACAACCTCAGCTCCCCCCAGCCCTTTTTGTGTTTGATTTTGAAACAGGGTCTTGTTAAAGTTGCCCAGCCTGGCCTCCAACTTGTAATCCTCCTGCTTCAGACTCCTGCATTGCTGGGATTACAGGCCTGCACCTCCATGCCCTGCTATAGACTTTTTTATTTTTATTTTTTGGCACTGGGGATTGAACACAGGGGTGCTTAACCACGGAGCCATATCCCCAGCTCTTTTTGTTTTTAATTTAGAGACAGGATCTCGCCAAGTTGCCGAGGGCCTTGCTAAGTTACTGAGGCTGGCTTTGAACTTTCAATCCTCCTGCCTCAGCCTCCTGAACCACTGGGATTTTAAGACCTTTTTTTAATAGTCATTGCTGCTGGCATCTGGTAGGTGGAGATGCTGTTCAGCATCATACAAAGCACAGGACTGTTCCCACCATGAAGGCTGTATGTGGTCCCAACTGACCATGGTGCTGCAACTGAAATAATTTGTTTCAAGAACATAAATAATAGTAAAACACAGTAAAAATAATTAGGGATTGATGACTTTTGAGTATTTATTACCTTTGTTTTAATATGATTCATCTTGTAAGTTTATGATTTTATTTCAATGCTGGGTATGGAATACAGGGCCTCCTGCATGCCAGGTGTGTGCTCTACCACTGAACGACACTCCCAGCCCATGATTAAGTTTTAATCATGGTTGTGCTTTTCAACAGGCTTGCCAAATTCCTGAAAGTTGGGTTTTTGGTGCCAGGGATGGAAGCCAGGGCGTCACCCTTGCTAGGCACTATCCTCTCTATCACTGAGCTATTCCCCAGCCCCAAATTTATGAAAGCGTAAGTCTGTTCTTGTGAACCCCAGCACCTGGTACAGAGGACCCTCAGAGGGTTTGAGGCCTGAATAAAGGGATGCTGGGTGTGAGGACCAGGACTGTGGGGGATCCCGCCTCTCTGAGACACTCTGATAACTCTCCCTGTTATCACAGGCCGTTTGTACCGGTCCATCTAGCGACCTTGTAAAGGGGTTGAGAAGCAAGTTCAACGTCCTTGTCTGTAGGTATCCCAGCTATCTTTCTCCAGGGTTCCGATTCTGGAAGCTTCCCCTGGCAGGAGTGTGGTTGCATGATCAGTGTGGTTAGGACAGGGCAGGCCTGCAGGAAGTGAGCCATGCTCAAGCCATGTCTTAGCAAGGAAAGTGATGGCTGCCTGCTTTAGGGGCCACTGTGGGTCTAGAAAGCCCCTCTCTCATTTCTCCAAGGTCCCCCTCCTCTAGGCCTTTTTTCCATTGTCTTGTGAAGACATTCATTCACTCAGCAACACATGATTTTTTAGCATTTTTATTATTGATTATATTCACGACAATGAATGAGATAGACAAGGTCTCTGCTCTCCTGGAGCAAACTCTTCAGGTGGAAAAGGATATAATACAGATAATAATTAACAAACAAAAATATTTCAGCTAGGTGCTGTGGTGCACACCTGTAACCCAGCAACTTGGGAGGATGAGGCAGAAGGATCATAAATTCAAAGCCAGCCTCAGCAATGGTGAGGCGCTAAGCAGCTCAGTGAGACCCTGTCTCTAAATAAAATACAAAATAGGGCTGGGGATGTTACTCAGTGGTCAGGTACCCCTGGGTTCAATCCCCGGTACCAAAAAAAAGGAAGGAAAAAAAAACATTTCCAATAGAATTATAAAATAACCTCTATTGAAGTTTATTTAGCACTTCCTGTGCTAAGCATTGTTCTAAAGTGCTAGGGACAGGCAATATGAATGAGAGACTGGATAGGCCTCCTGTGTTAGGACATAGGTGCCTGTTGCAAGGGAGGCTGGGAAATGTAGTCTTTAGTTTGCCAGCCGTGGGCCTAGCAAAAACATGGCAGGAATGAGAGAGTTCTGGCCACTTCTTTCATTCTTTCTTTTTTGTACCCAGGATTGAACTCAGGGGCACTTAACCACCAAGCCACATCCCCAGCCTTTTTTTTTTTTTTTATTTAGAGACAGTGTCTCAGTTGCTTAGGGCCTTGCTAAGTTGCTGAGGCTGGCTTTGAACTCACGATCCCACGCTCCTGGGATTATAGGTGTGCACTACCACGCCTGGCCTGGCCATATATATATATACACATATATATATATATATATATATATATATATATATATCTTTTTTTTTTAAGTTGGACATAATACCTTTATTTTTTAATTTATTTTCACATGGTGCTGAGGACCCAACCCAGTGCCTCACATGTGCGAGGAAGTGCTCTGCCACTGAGCCACATTCTCAGCTTGAAATTGATTTTTGTGGTGGTGGTTGCACAATTCCATGAATATACTAAAAACTACGATGTGTAATGCTGTGTAATGTGTAATGCTGTAGTAGCCAGCCCCAGAGCTCTCCCAATAATACAAGAAACAGGGAGAAGATTGATGAGCGAGATTTATGCAAGCCTTGTTATTTTTTCCCCCCTCTTTGGTTTGTATTGACAGGAGACAAAGGAGAATAAGACGAAAGGATTCGATTACTTACTCAAGGCCGCTGAAGCTGGCGACAGACAGTCCATGATCCTGGTGGCACGAGCTTTTGACACCGGTCTGAACCTCAGCCCAGACAGGTAACTGTGGCTGTCACTCAGGTGGAATCCATAGGGATCTGGATTGGGTGGGCACTTTCTCTTTAATATCAGGATAGACATGGGCTCTGGTCTTGGTTTCACCCATTACCAGACCAGTGACCCTGAGTGAGTTCTTTTACATTCATCTTTTGAAACAGGAACAATCACAACACCTGCTTCTGAGGATTGTCGTATGAAGGTTACATGACGTGGTGACAGTAATTCTCACAGCACCGGGTACATGAGGCCTGCAGTGATTGGCAGCCATTTTAGCTAGTATAATAAAGATTTTCATGAGAAAAAAAATCACTATCAGGCTCAGAGGATTGTCCCTGGATAGTAGGATTTGGGTGATCTTAATTGACTTTTCCTGCTTTTATTTTTATTTTATTATTTTTCACTTCTAAGAAGAAGGAGTAGGTTTGAAGACTCCAGCAACTAAAGTATCAGTACTTTTCATTTATTCTTCAGGCTGAGATGCCAGGTCTGGTTTTTGCAATGGGAGGAGAACAGGGTGGCCCACCTTCATCTCGGCTCTGTGGCTTAGCCAGTGGGAGATCCCGGAAGTCCAGGGCAGAGGTCAGTTGCTCACCCTAGGTGGTTCCCATTGGAACCTGGCTACCCAGGAACCTTCAAGAACTCTTTGGAAGGGAGCAAGGAGGGTGCATTCATTGTGTAAATCTCCAAGGTGAACCAGCTGAGCAGGTCCCTCCTCTTGGTCTCAGGAGCTCCTCTCTCTTACTGGGTTTAGAACGAAAGTCTGGTAGGACTCTCATATTAAGGAGGTTTCAGGGTCAAAAACTTCTGAATGCATTCAGAAGCCTGCCTGTGTGCCAACATTTTTCAGATACCTGCTGTGTAACAGCAGTGCTCCCCTATATTTGGACAGCATTTTTGTGTTATGATTTGATTTCATTGAGAATAGGAATCAGTTCTCCTATAACTCTGTGTCCTACATCTTCCACATCTTAGTATCTTAGCTCAGTGGTTGAATGAATAAACCAACACATCTCAATGACACAGACAAGGCAGGTGTTTGGGGCCCCATTTTGTGGATAACTATAGACTATAGTTCTGAGAAGTGAAGGAACTTGGAATGCTTGGGGTCAGAAGTGTTTTGGATTTTGGGTTTTCTCAGATTTTGGACTATATGCATATGTATAATGAGATATCTTGGGGACAGATCCCAAATCTAAATGCAAAATTCATGTATACACCATAGACGCATAGCCTGAAGGTAATTTTATCCAATATTTTTAGTGAATCTGCAAAATGATTCACGTTTGCATTATGATTATAATCAAAAAGTATCAGATTTTGGTGTTCTTAGATTTGGGAGTTTTGGATTAGGGATGCTCAACCTGTACCTAATAAGTGGCAGAGCCAAAGTTTTGGTCTTTCCACCTTTCTTTCATTGTATTCACTATTGACCGGCTTTTTAGTGAACTTAGAACTATACTGGCATGGAGAGGTGCTAAACAAAAAAGTCCTAACATGATTCTATTAGATCAAGTACCCATACATATGGTACCCATTGAGTGCCGTGGAGAAGTATAGCATGCGTAGAAGGAGTTGGAGATGGGCATTGAATATTTATATCTTTGGTTCTTAAAAGGTCTTTGTATTTGTGCTTTCTCTTTCTGTCCTTTGTCTACTTTGATTTTTACTTCTTTTTTTTAAAATTTATATTTATTTCTACTTTTACTCCAGATGATAGTTTCTTATTGATTTGTTACAATTCTTTATATATTAAGGCTGTTAACCCATTCTCTTTAAAAGAAGTTGTGTTTTTTTTTTTCCCTATTTCCAGAGATGGCCAACATAGATTGGGGAGGAGGAAACATATACCACATAATGACCATTGCTTACTGGGTTTGGGGACATGCTGGTTTTTAATATTTATGTAATTAAATCTATGAGAATTTTCTTTTTTTTTTATAGCTTCTACTATAGTCATTTTCTTTTTCTTCTTCCTCATTCCAAGCAGCTCCAGCCTTTTGCATTCAGGGAGCATTAATTAAGGGCCAGCTATGGGTAAGGCAGGGCCCCATGTAGGCCCAAATTTATATTTAAGGGATTTTGGTTCTCTCAGAAGTTACATCTAATAGGGGGAATGAAAAATCTGGAAAATTCCAAGGCAGGGTGGGCACCCTGACCACTGGGACAACGTGGAGCAGGGGTGGGCAGGGAGAGAGAAGATGCTTTCCCATGTAATGTTTCCAGGGCAATTGTGTTCTGCCCTTTAGGACTGGGGATCATCAAAGCTGAAGAGGTGATGTCATCTAGTCTAGGGGTCCCTATTCCAATAATACAACCCTAGGTTTTTGGGTACCTCGTTATTTTCAAATAATTTCCTTTTTTTTTAAAAAAATAAGATACAATGGGGTCACGGTCCTAAATCCCATCTCCACCCGCCACTTGCTTACCTTTTTTCATCCAGCAGAAATGTGTTGAGCCTGTACTGCTGGCCAGGCCCTGGGAATATAGCAGTTAAAGGTCAGGGATGACCCTAATATATGAGGGAACAAGGAGAATTAGAGTGTGAAATTGTAAAAAACAAGGTGTTTAGAGACAGCATCTCTGGAGAGGTAACATGAACTGAGGCTGGAGGGGTGAAGAACTAGGTGTGGAACCCAGACTAGAGGGGTGGGAATTTAGGCTGAGCGTGGAGGTGCACGCCTGTAATCCTAGCAGCTCTGGAGGCTGAGGCAGGAGGATCGCAAGTTCAAAAACCAGCCTCAGCAATGAAGTGAGGTCCTAAGCAACTTAATGAGACCCTGTCTCTAAATAAAATATTTAATATTTTAAAAGGGCTGGGGATGTGGCTTAGTGGTTAAGCATCTCTGGGTTCAATTCCTGGTACCAAAAAAAAAAAAATACGAGGGTACAGGCAGGTGCTGGCATGTTTGGGGAGTAGCACCTGGCACCAACAGGAGCTGAGACTGGAGGGTGAGGCAAGAGGCAAACATATCATTAGAGCTGCTGCTCCTGGCACATTCAGGACAACCAGAGTCTTTCTTATCAGTGACACTCTTTGCTCTTTCCTGATGTGCTATAAATAGTTCCTCACACGGATTACACGCAAAGAAAAACAGCCTGCTGCCCTGTTAGCTCTGTATTTTGTAGTTGCATGACTTTGGCTGAAACCTATGGTCACCCTTGGTGGTTTGGCCAGATGCATGCTGCCATAGGAGAAAGAGCCGGGGAGCGGAGGGGCTTCGCTGGGGTGGGGAGAGGAGTCCTGCATTATTCTGGAAGAGAGCCCGAACTGGCCAGCACAGGCAGGGCATAGGCAGGTGCTGAGCGATTGCTGTTAGGTGGTTCTGGGGGCTTCTGCCCAGGGTCCTTCTCCTACCAGAGTCAGAGGTCCGCTTGTGCTAGCCCATAGGGTGCTTGTGGGCGATCCTAGAAAAATGTCCCCCTCCCCAATATGCTCGACTTCTGTTACAGAATGGTTATTAAGGAAAGCTACATGACTGCCCTCTTAATAAATAAATAAACCTACAACATCACAGTGCCCCTCGGATGTGGTGGTCTTGGACACTATAGGTTGGGAACCAGAGGTGGTCGTCCCGGCTGTATCCCTGACTTGGATCAGGGGTGGTTGGCCCTCTGCCCTCCCCCACCTGCTGCTGTGATGATTTCCCTCTTTCTCTGTGTCCCCTGGCAAGGTGCCGAGACTGGCCCGAGGCCCTGCACTGGTACAACACTGCCCTGGAGACAACGGACTGTGACGAGGGCGGTGAGTTCGATGGGATGCAGGACGAGCCCCGGTATGCGCTGCTGGCCAGGGAGGCTGAGATGCTGGTCACCGGAGGCTGCGGGCTGGAGAAGGACCCGCAGAGATCAGGTAGGGCCTCGCAGACCTGCCCCTGGGGCGGGACAGGGCTGGGCAGGGACCCTTGTAATTCTCATCCCCATTGGGAGGGGCCCAGGGTGAGTCTCTTTTCAGGGGAGGGAGGGGGGTTTATGGAGCTAACACGCAGATGGACATTTTTATTTAATGCGTATACAGTCAGCCTCGGGTAGCTGTTGGTTCTTCATCCATGGATTCAACCAACCACAGATCAAAGAATATTTTAGTAGTGCTGAGGATGTAGTTCATGGTGGAGCACTTGCCTGGCATGCATGGGGCCCTGGATTCCGTCCATGGCCTCTGTGCTGAATGCATTCAGACTTTTTCCCTTACAATACAGAATGACAGGGCTGGAGTTATAGCTCAGTGGTAGAGAGAGTGCTTGCCTAGTGTGTATGAAACACTAGCTTTGATCCTCAGCACCACATGAAAATAAATAAATAAATAAAATAAAGGTATTGTGTCCATCTATAACTAAAAATATTTTTTTAAAAAGAAAGAAATGTCATGCTTCCTTTACAAAAGCAGTATAGGAGTTGAAATGCATTCTGCTGTCGTGTACAACTAAATAGAACAAATTTTTTAAAAATAAATTTAGGGCGGGGGTTGTGGCTCAGCCGTAGAGCACTTGCCTTGCACGTGTGAAACCCTGGGTTCGATGCTCAGCACCACATAAAAATAAATACGTGAAATAAAGGTATTGTGTCCAACTACAACTAAAAAATAAACATCTAAAAATAAATAAATAATATAAAAAATATATAGGATAACAACTGTTTACATAGCATTTAAATTAGCTATTATAAGTAATCTAGAGCTGGGCAAGGTGACACATGCCTATAATCCCAGAGTCTGGGGAGGCTGAGGCAGGAGGATCACAAGTTCAAAGCCAGTCTCAGCAACTTAGTGAGGTGCTAAGCAAACTCAGTGAGACCCTGTTTCTAAATAAAATACAAAATAGGGCTAGGGATGTAGCTTAGTGGTTGAGTGCCCCTGAGTTCAATCCTCAGTACCCACCCCCCAAAAAGAAGTAATCTAGAGAGGACTTAAAGTGTGTGGGAGGATAATGTATAGGTCACATATAAATGCTATGCTATTTTCTATAAAGGACTTGAGCATCTGCAGATGGTACTGGAACCATGGACATCAAGATATGTATTAGAGGGCCGGGGTTGTGGCTCAGCGGTAGAGCACTTGCCTAGCATGTGCGCGCCCTGGGTTTGATCCTTAGCACCACATAAAAATAAATAAAGGTATTGGGTCCAACTACAACTAAAAAATAAATACTTTTTTTTTTTTAAAAAAAAGATATATATTAAAGTCTTAAGGGGAGTTCTTTGCAATTTTGAAAACTGAACTAAAATTTTCACAACATGAAATTTACCATCTTGAAGTGTAGTTCAGTGGATTTTAGTATTTTCACAATGTTGGTCACCCATCGCCATTAACTAATTCCAGAACATTTCCATCACCCCAAGAAGAAACCCTGTACTAGTTAGCAGTCATTCCTAACCTGCCTTCTCCCCCATTCCTGGGGACCAAGGATCAACTTTTGGTCTATATGGATGGCCCTGCTCTGGGCTCCTTCTGTAAGTGACTCATGAAATACATGGCCTTTTGTGTCAGGCTTCTTTCACTTAGAATAATGGCTTTAAGGTTCATGCACGTTATAGCATGTACCAGTGCCTCATTCATTTTTATTGCCAAATAATATGCCATTGTAGGAGATGCCCCATTTTTTTTTTTTTTTTTTTTTTTTTTTGTGGTGCTGGGGATTGAACCCAGGGCCTTGTGCATGAAAGGTAAGCACTCTACCAAATGAGCTATGTCCCCAGCCCCCCCATTTTGTTTTTGAGCCATCAGTTGATAGACAAGTTATATGTTTTTTTTTTTCCATTACATAATATATTAATCTGCTGAAGCTGCCCTATAGATTGAATGGCTTAAGTAACAACAATGTATTTATTTTATTTATTTGTCTGTTTATCTATTTATTTATTTGGTGCTAGAGATCAAACCCAGGGCCTTATGCATGCTAGGCAAGTTCTCTATTACGGGGCAGTCTCCTAAATTGATTTCTCAAGGCCAAGAAGTCCAAGATCAAGGTGCTCTCCTGTTTCTGGCTTATAGACAATCATCTTCTCACTATGTACTAACATGTCTTTGTCTTCTGTATGCAAGGAGAAGGGCCGGGGTAGAGAGACCCATTCCTTTTTATTGCCAAATAATATGCCTTTCCAGACTAGATGCAAATCTCAGGCCCTACTGTCTTTTCCTCCTCTGAGAAGGGTCCCAGCCCCATTGAACTCAGGGCCCCACTCTTGTGACCTCACTTAACCTTTATCACAGCCTCACAGGCCCTATGTCCACCTATAGTCACTTTGTGGATTAGGGTTTTAACAGATGAAACCTGTGGGTGAGAATTCAGGAAGAGGGTGTTGGTGACACCAATATCCAGTCCTTTACCTATAACAAACTTACTAAACTCCTGATTTCACAGGTATGGGATGAGACTAAATTTTAAAAGTTGTATAAGAATTTGCCAAATAATAAAGCAAATCTATCATTTGAAATTTATAAATCCCCAAAGCTCTAAAATTCCAAAGTGCTTGCTTTGAATTTTATACAAATTCATTTGACAGCAAAACTTGAGCCAACCTGACATGAAGTTATTTTGACTATTTCTTCCTCTTACAAAGATTCTCAATTTATTCTGCAAATATCCTCAGCCTGATTGAATCGCCCACCCACCTGCAAATCACTATGGACCCCAAGGCTTATTCTGATTAGCTCTGCCTAAGTCTAGACCAACCCCTAGGGCCTGCAGGGAATGGAGGAGTGCTCTGATTGGCCAGGTTTGATCACATGGCCACCCTGTGACAGAGCATCCTGAGCATCTATCTGGAGGGAGAGGAAGGATGTCAGGGGTAGTTTGGTTCCTGTAAAAACAAAGACAAGACAAAACCAAACCAAACCTCAGGGTACTCTTGTGGGAGAGGTGGGGGATACTGGCCTGGCATGCACGGTTCACCTCTTTGTACCTTACCTTGCTCTCTTTCAGGGGACTTGTACACCCAGGCGGCTGAGGCAGCCATGGAAGCCATGAAGGGCCGTCTAGCCAACCAGTACTATCAGCTGGCAGAGGAGGCCTGGGCCCAGATGGAAGGATAACTTACCAGAACAATTGCTGCCAGCTAGTCCCAAGCAAAAGGGCTAAGGGGTTGGGATGGGGGGTGGGTGGGGAGACTTATTTAGTTTGAGAAGGAAAAGGTATTTTTCATGTGCTGTAAATTGACTTTTGTATTTTATTTTATTTTATTTTTTTGACTCTTGAAAAAAGGTCTTTGCTACTAGCAGAGACCCTACAGCTGTCCCTTAGGACAGTGTTTTCGGGGAATGGGGATTGAAAAAATGCAGCCTAATGAACCATCCTACTGTTATTGAGATTCTCTTTTTATTTTTTACTTCTTGCTTTCTTATCTTGAGACGTGTCATACTTTTCCACCATGGACAATATGAGACCCTTGCTCACCAGCCTTTCCAGGCTAGATTCAAATCTCAGGCCCTCAGAACCCCGTTTCAAGAATGGGGATGGGAAGTGAAGAGCTAACTTCCCAGGGGTGTGTTTTGTCCTGACTTAGTGCACAGCCATCTTTCTCTGAGCATTTGGGAGCATGCATGGTGTTTTTTGAGTGCACATGCAGCCTCCCTTCTATCCTGGGGCAGGGGCCTGCACATTGATTAATTTCTAACGTCATAGTTTAGTTTCCTCCTGCCCTGAGACTGATTTTTCTGGAATTCCAGCCAAATTCCGTTTTTGAAGCATGCTTTCTTCCTATGGGCTTTACAAAACAGGTTTGATTTTTTTTTTTTTTTGTATGTACACATTTACTACCTCTAACTTGTACATGAATACTTGGTGTGGAACAGGGTGCATCTCAAAGCTTTAATGAATGAGGACAGCAGCTTGGAATATGGGGGACTTTGCTCCAAGCAGCACATACCCTGCTTCCTAGTGGCAACATCCACACAGTGACTAAGTGTCCCTGGTGCAGTATCCCTTAGCATTTTCTTACATGAAGCTATTCTTATATAGAATCTGCTCCCCAGCCCCCACTCTTGGCATTTTCTGCTCCAAGCTGGGCTGATTTTCTTGTGATTTGCAGCTTGGCTGCTTTCAATAGCAGCCCCTTGAGATTTACTAAAGATGTTTGAGGATGAGAGGGCAAGAACTATAAACACTCATTAGTTCTAGAAGTTTCCCCAGGGTCAAGCTACAATATCTTTATTTAATGAGCTTTCTCCTTACAAGGAGTTCCTATTTAATACTAGTGTGATTTCACTTGTTGTTTCAAATAGCCAAGAAACTAGACAATTCAATCAACCACAAATGCTAGAGCAGCCTCTTTCTCGAACAATCAAAGGATGCAAAGCCAAGTGTAACACACAAGCCACTCTTACTTGTTAAGATACTCCCTCAGCACTTCAGTTTGGAGCACTGTGTAGTCATGAACTTGTGCAAACATTAGATTCTAAAGTGGGGTGTGCCCTTCAAGGAAAAATTAAGTCAGCATTACCTGTGAAAACTCCCCAAGTCCACCCAGAAATGACAGTATCCCCAGTTTTTGCACATGGACTCATAACAATTTTCCTTTAGAAGTTGGTACTGATCACTCTTCTTTCATCTATACCAGATCAGTGGTTAGCTTGCTTTAAATTTTATGTGTGTTTTAAACCAGTACCTATAGTTAAATTGCATATATTAAATGTAAGAAGCAACTTTATTGCCACATATTCCTTCAAAGTAATCAAGCCTTGTGCTTTTTTGTTGGTGGTGCCGTTGTTAATTCAGACAGCTTCCTTCTTCTCTGAAATTTTTTTTGAGGGGGGGGGTGGAGGAATTGGGGATTGAACCCAGGGGCACTCGACCACTGAGCTACATTCCCAGCCCTATTTTGTATTTTATTTAGTGTGACAGGGTCTCACTGAGTTGCTTAGCACCTTGCTGTTGCTGAGGCTGGCTTTGAACTCGAGATCCTCCTGCCTCAGCCTCCCAAGTTGCTGGGATTATAGGCGTGCACCACCCTGCCTGGCTTCTCTAAGATTTTATTAGACAAATAATTTGTCTTTTTGTCCCTTGTATCTAATTCTCTATCAAAATGGATATATATATATATATATATATATATATATATATATATATTTTTTTTTTTTTTTAAATGAAAGGGCCAGATAGACCACATGGCCTTTTTTTGCAGCTACTCAACCCTGCTATCAAATTGCAAAACCAGCAAGAGACAAGATGTAGACAAATGAATATGGTTAGTGTTCCAATAAAACTTTATTTATAAAAACAGGTGGCCCTCTTGGCCTGTAGTTTGTTAACCCTTGACTGAAAGCTACTTCATTAAGCTGCAAGAACAGAGGTGTATCAACTTTGTGGCCTCCAGGACTATTTTTTTTTTTTGGTACTGAGGATTGAACCCAGGGGCTTTTAACCACTGAGCCACATCCCCAACCCCCATCCCCTTTTTTAAAATTTAGAGACAGGGTCTTGCTGAGTTGCTTAGGCCTTGCTAAGTTGCTGAGGCTGGCTTTGAACTCTAGATCCTCCTGCCTCAGCCTCCCAAACTGCTGAGTTAACAGGCGTGCACCACTGTGCCTGGCCTCCAGGGCTTTTAAGCATAGTACCTTAGCAGAGTTGGTTACCAAGTAAGTGCGTGAATGAAGGGAGGGCCAGCTCCAGTCATGGAGCTCACTCTGAGTGATTCCTTGTCTGGATTTGCTTTAACCATCATGCCTACAATTCCACTCCCCACCCACCCACATGGCCTTACTGTCAGGAAGTGCTCTCTTTCTCCTCCAGGAGGCTAGGGTGGTCTGCATGCAGACCATGAGAATGAAAAAGGAACTTGCAAGATGTTGAGATCCTTCTGAGCTACCAGAAGCACTTATTCCACCTTTAAAACCTAGGTCTGGGGCTGGGGATGTAACAGTTGGTAGAGTGCTTGCTTCAAAGGCACAAGGCCCTGGGTTCAATCCCCAGCACCACAAAATAAACAAACAAACACAAACCCTAGGTCTGTGTCATCTGAAGCTGGTTAAGGCATCTCTCCCTGCAGCAAACCCAAGACAGTCCAGCTCAACTAGAAAGACAGCAGAGACTGTCTTCAAATTCAAGAGGCAGGTGGAAATCCAGATTAGCACAGTTAGGATTAGCATCTGTCACCTTCATTTCACAGAGAAACCACAGGTTCATGTAGATTCTGTCACATGATACTGCTAGCTAGAGCTGGAGCTAGGAATTGAGAGAGGCTGTCATTTAGAGGATCCTGGGGATATAATTTAAACTAGAATTCAATGGCCCATTCAGGTTTTTGGTGTTTTTGTTTTTTGCCAAGGGATGGAACCCAGGGGCACTTAACCACTGAGCCACCTCCCCAGCCCTTCTTTGGATTTTATTTAAAGACAGGGTCTTGCTGAGTTGCTTAGGGCCTTGCTAAAGTGCTGGGGCTAGTTTTGAACCCACAATCCTCCTGCCTCAGCCTCCCCAGCTACTGGGATTATAGGCATGTGCCACCGCACTCAGCTTAGTTCTGCCAGAGGTAAAAGAGAAATAAACAAATGAGGGCAAGCTTTATGGGTATAAGAAGAGAAAAATCCTCTCAGACCCAAGCACTTTGGAATATCACTGCTCCCCTTCTCACCGAGGCATTCTGGGAATTTATCTTCAATACCACCTTCCAGGTATATCACCCTTCTTGCTATTTTGATGTTTTTATTACCTTCCATCCCAGCTCACTTGCATGCACATGTTTTACAAGTCAACAAATGTTTACATGAGTATCTGCAGCTTGGTGGGGGGGGAGACACACCGTGTATTCTCTGTGGATTTGGGCCTCTTCCTTGCGTTTCCAGTCTCAGAGGTAACCATTTCACCTCCTCAAGGTAGACTCAGGGTGGGACCCGGAGAAGTGGCTCTCTGTACAGATTTATTTTTGCATATGTACTAAGTTGCACTTTGTCTTTCCAAATAAAATGGTTTCTTTCTTTCTTGTCTCCCATTCAAATGTCTCCTGGTAAAAAACATGTGAAGTAGCTGGTTGGAGGTTGAAGTAGAATGGAGGGCTATGCCCCCTTGGAAAAGGGCAGCCATGATTCATTCACCTCTGAATGCCACGGAAAGTGGGCCTATTTCCAGTTTTTCAAGAGCTACTGAAAAGTGGGATTTTTTTTTAATGGAAAGTCTCCTGATTTTTGACATTTGTAATAAATCCTAATAATAACAATAATAAAGCCTTCCAGATTTGGCCCCTGTACTGTCAAGTTTGCTTTAGGTAAAATATGGGAACCTCCCTTTCTTCTCCTCCTCCTCCTTCCCCCCTCCCTTCCCCTTTCCCCTCCCCTTCCCTCCTTCCCCTTCCCCCCCTCCTTTTATTTTTGCAATACTGAGAATTGGATCCAGGACTTTTTGCTTGCTGGGCAAATACTTTACCACTGAGCTACATCCCCAGCCAATTATTTATTAATAATAAATTTATTAATAGTAAATAAATTAATTTATTAATTATTAATTAATGATTTATTAAAATCAATTATTTATTAATAATAAATAAATAATTTTAAAATTTATGTTTTGAGACCACATCTTACTAAGTAGCCCATGCTGGCCTCAAATTTGTGATCCTCCTGCCTCAGCCTCTCAAGTTGCTTGGAATTATAGGTGTGCACACCATGCCCAGTGAACTTTTCTTTTTTTAAGGTGTTTGTTTGTCTATGGTACTGAGGATGGAATCCAGGGGCCCTCTAACCCTGAGTCCCATCCCCAGCTCTTTTTATTTTTTGAGACAGGGTCTTACTAAGTTGCCCAGCATGTCCTCAAACTGGCAATCCTCCTGTCTCAGACTCCCGAGTTGCTGGGATTACAGGCATGTGTCTCCATACCCAACTTCATGAATATTCTTAGATAATAACGCAGTTTTAAAATTCTCACAATAAAAGAGTTCTTGGGAAAACTAAAACTGGGTACTTCAAATGGTTTATTAAAAAAATAATTTAGGATTGAGTTATAATTCTTTACATTCAATATAGACTATATTATCAATTTAGTATTGATTAAATGTAAAGACAAGTAACTTGACCCTCTCCACAATGCACATCATTTAGCATATTACTATGAGCAAATGCTTTTACTCTAATACAGTGACAGTTTGAAAAAGATCTGGCTTCTTTTCTTCTACCTTGACATACTGACCAGTATTAAGATTGCCAAAGGGACTGAGTCTGTTAGGCTGGGTGCAGTGGTGCACGCCTGTAATCTCAGCAGCTCAGGAGACTGAGCCAGGAGGATCACGAGTTCAAAGCCAGTCTCAGCAAGAGTGAGGTGCCAAGCAATTCATTGAGACCCTGTCTCAAAAAATACAAATGGGGCTGGGGATGTGGCTCAGTGGTTGAGTGTTTCTGAGTTCAATCCCTGGTACCCGCCCCCCAAATAAGTCTGTTAGGACTGGGTTTGTTTTTTCCTCTTATGAGCTATTCAAGGTATCCGATAATGTTTCTTCTTACACAAAGGTTGAGCATCCCCAATCTGAAATCCACAATGCTCCAAAATTCAAACTTTGAGCACTAACAGGATTTCAAAGCAGAAAATTCCATACTTTTAAAATTCCATTTTTTCATGCACATATTTAAAATGTTCAAAATCACCTTCAGGTGATGTGTATAAGGTATATATGAAACCTAAGTGGATTCCATGCTTAAACTTGGGTCCCATCCCTAAGATATCTCATTACATATATGCAAATATCTCAAAATCTGAAACACTTCTGGTTCCAATCAGGGAAATATTCAACCTGTATTGGAACAGAAAATAAAGAAATAGGGAAGTGGATGTCAAGAAGGCAAAACAGAAACAGACCCCCCCACACACAGAATTTTCCCTTTAGGGAGGAACCAGAGAAGGGTCCTAAATACTAGACAGAATATAGGTGTGGGGCTAGTGGCACACATCTGTAATTCTAGTGACTATGGAGGCTGAGAAAGAAGGATTTACAAGTTCAAGGCTAGCCTCTGCATCTTGGCAAATAAAAAGGGCCCTTGGGTTCAATCCTCAATATCACTAAATAAATAAATAAAGTGTTATGAAAACTTTTCAGAGAGTGTTATTGCAAGTATGTGTCAAAATGTTATTACAGCTAGGTGGATTGGTGTGCTCTTGTAATCCCAGTGGCTTGGGAGGCTGAGGCAGGAAGATTGCAAGTTCAAAGTCAGCCTCAGGAAAACTGAGGTTCTAAGCAACTCAGTGAGACCCTGTCTCTAAATAAAATACAAAATGGTGCTGGGGATGTGGCTCAGTGGTTGAGTGCCCCCGAGTTCAATCCCTGGTACCCTCCACTACCCCAAAATGTTATTACAAACTTGCTGCAAATGAAACTATAGGAGGCTAATTCAGAGATGCAGACTTGGTTAAAACATTTTCAGAAAATTTACTTTTTTTATTACACCATCACATTCATGGATTAAACTGCAAAATCTTAAGTATGTAGTTGGATGAATTTTTACACATGTAGACATCTGTGTATCAATAACCCAGATCAAAATATAGAACATTTGCAGACCACAGAAAGCCCTGATGGGCCCCTTCCCAGGCAATATGCTCCTATCCCACCTGGGACAAAGGTGACCACTCTTCTGACCTCCTATCTTGGTAGAGACATATTAGAGAACAAGAGAATGATTAGATAATCATTGCTCGTCAAGATTGGAAAGAAAACAATGTTCTGTTAAAGGTCACCATGCTCTTGACTGACAAATGACAGTCAGTTGGGTGAGTAGAAAACTAGTCTTCAAGTGCAAATTTCCATGCTATTAAATTTTATTAGAACAATTCTTTGGTGGGGGCGCAGGGGGTCAAATTCAGGGCCTCACATGCCAGGCAAGCGCTATACCACCGAGCTGTATCTCTAGCCCCCATTAGAACCATTCTTGAAACATTTTTTCAGAAACGCCAACTTCTTTCCCTATGGAGGTCCATGTAGAAAGATTTGGTCACAGACAATCATTGGGATAATTCTCTTTTATGGGTGGGCAAGGGAGTCAAGAATGGAAGAGATCCAGGACTGAGCCACCACACCCATTCCCAGTGCCCACCACTTAGGACTTACGAAGTGGAGACTGACAGCCTTCACCTGCCTGTCCCTGGATTGGGTGTGGAGGGCAAGTGGGCAGTGTTTGATCTTCTTGCACTCCCCCACCACCTGCATTAATCAGGGCAGGGAAGTAGACACATGGGCGGAAAATCAAGGTTTCAGTCCTTCCCTCCGTCCCCCTGCATACTGCTACCCAGACCCTGTGGGTCCAGGGTTCCAATGCAACATTCTCCTCCTGCACATTAGTTTCACATCTGATTGTCACAAGACCACTGTGTAATGGGGCTGCAGGACTGTAAGAAGCTCTTCAAAGGTGGCCCTGGTTTCCTGTCTTCCAGGATCTCCAGCCTGCATCCCTGCAGGGCCCCTGTTAATTAAGCCTCCTGCTCAGTACGTGCGGGTAGGGACAGACCTGATTTGCTCCGAAGGTTCTGGCTTCATTTGAGCCCTTATCACCCAAAGGGAAGGTTATTAGTCACAATTCACAGGTAGCACTAGCTTTAGCAGAAAGGGAAACTTGGTAAAGAGATGACTCCAATAGTAGGCATCCAGCTGGGCCAGGGATAGCATCTTGAACTGGGAGCCTGAAAACCTCCGGGATCTCTCTAGGTCTCTGCTCCCCTCTCTCTTTCTATATACTGACTTTCTCTACTTCTCCAACCCATCTCATGGGATGTGGCCACCCCAAGTCCCTCTTTCTCTCCAGTTCTAGCAGGTCTAACTCCACCACAACAGGATCAAATTAACAAATCACTAACTCATTACATTCAGACTCTTAAGAGAGACTACGAATTCTATGCAGCCTAAATCCTATGTCCACCACAGAACTCACTAGCTAAATCAAAACCACTAAGATTTCATTTCGCTCCAGTCAGAATGGCAATTATCAAGAATACAAGCATTAACAAGTGTTGGCAAGGATGTGGGGGAAAAGGCACTCTCATACATTGCTGGTGGGACTGTGATTTGGTGCAACCGCTATGGAAAGCCGTATGGAGACTCCTCAGAAAAGTGGGAATGGAACCACCATTTGACCCAGCTATCCCACTCCTCGGTTTATACCCAAAGGACTTAAAATCAACATACTACAGTGACGCAGCCATATCAATGTTGATAGCAGCTCAATTTACAATAGCTAAATTATGGAATCAACCTACATGCCCTTCAATAGTTGAATGGATAATGAAAATGTGGTACACATGCACAATGGAATATTACTCAGCCTTAAAGAAGAATGAAATTATGGCATTTGCAGGCAAATGAATGGAACTAGAGAATATCTTGCTAAGATATTCTTAGCAATAAGCCAATTCCCCCAAATCAAAGGCTAAATGTTTTCTCTGATAAGCAGATGCTGATCCACAGTTGGGGATGGGGTAAGGAAGAATGAAGGAACTTTGCATTGTGCAGACAGGAGTGAGGGGGGGAGTAGGGCTGTGGGGATGGGAAAGACGGTAGAATGTGACAGACATTATTACCCTGTATACATGTATGCTTAAACTACTGGTGTGACTCAGCACCATGTACAGCCCGAAGAATGAGAATTTATGCTCCATTTGTGTATAATGTGTCAAAATTCATTCTACCATCATGTATAACTAATTAGAACAAATAAAATAAAAAATAAATAACTCACTAGTTGTGATTAAAGGATTGGGGTGTCAGTAGGGTTTTCAGGAGGGAAGTGTTGGGAGGCACATCACAAAGGTATTGCCAAGGACTCATTCTTGTTAGGCAAGTTCCAGAAAAGTGGGACTGGATAGAGATTCCCGCAATTATTCATCAACAGGGGAATGTTTCCTTGTGGAAAACCCAGTACACAGCTCATAAAAAAATAATCCGTCCTGGTACAAAAATACCACGATTAGATCACTTCACTGACTTCAAGGACTATTCATTCAGCT